TGCTGAAGTGTCACTAGTTTGTGTAGTGAAGCCAGATGAATTCTGGGATAAGAAAGTAACACATTTTTGTTTTTGGAAAGAAAAGGATAGACTTGGTTTTGAGGTAAATGTAATCTATAATAAAGCAAGTATGTTAAATCTTTAAAAATAATATTTTGCTGATATTATTTTGTTTGTTTAGCATTACTTAATTAGTGCTTAAGTAATAATTAGTATACATTCTAATGAGCATTTAAATATTTGTTGAACAAATTATGATTTTTTGTAAAAGACTGCAAAAGTTTGTTTTCATTTGTTTTTCTAACTCCTTTGAATAAGTATACCTCTTTTATTTTGAAAATGTTTATTGCATTACCAGAGGAAATTTGACAAATACTAGAAAATCCTAGAAATTTTGGAATTGACATTAGGTTCTATTTTCTATGGTACATCATTATTTTTTGTTATGCATCTGATTTAGTTTTGATGTGTAAACACAGGTATTCATCCTGTTCTATAGGAATTTCTCTCTTCCTTTTTGTTCTGTAAGTATATCTTATTATAGGTTAGAAAGAAATCCCAAAATGGAATATAAATCTAAACAATCCTTTCAGTTTCCCTTCTGTCAGCCATGTTGTGATGTGGAACCAGAGGCTAGCCGAATTCCAGCCCCATGCTCTTAGACTTTCTAGCTACTAGAATCAATGTGCAAAATAAACTATTCTTTGTAAACCACCAAGTGTTGGGTACTTTTGTTTAGCAATACAAGGACATATTAAAACCTCCAGTTTTTCTGTTTTTCTTTTATGATTCAGACTGTTGATGTCATGCCTGAGAAATCTTTGCCTAATCCAAAGTCATAAAGATTTTCTCTGTTTTCACCTAGAAGTTGTTCAGTTTTAGCTTTTAAATTTAGATCTCTGATCTGTTTTGAGTTAATGTTTCTGTGAGCCGTGATCCAAGAATATATGCCCTCAGCCATTTTGTACTTGCTGATATTTGGTTTTTGACCCACTATGTGGTCTATCTAGGAGTTCATAATGGAGTTAGAAGAATTGTATTCTGCTTTTGTTGGATGGAGTGTTCTATATTGGTGAATAGATGATCTATAGTGTTGTTTAAGTCTTCTGTATCCTTGTGAGCACTTGTTCTTTCCATTACTGGAAAGAATATTACAGTTTCAACAATTGTAATTGAGGATTCATTTCTCCTTTCCTGTCAGATTTTGTTTCTTGTATTTTGAACCTGTGTTGTTTGATGCATAATGGTTTAGGATTATGTCTCTTTAGTGTGTACCACTTTATCATTATTAAATATCTCTTTTTATCCCTGAAAATATTGTTGGTTCTGAAGTATTATGTTGTCTGATATTAATGTAACTATTCTAGCTTTCTTTTGATTAGTATTTATATACCGTATCATTTTCTGTCCTTTTAATTTATTTATCTATTTCTTCATATTTAAAGTGGACTCTGTTTTAAAAAAGCTTTATTTCCTAGAGAGTGCATATACTGGCCGGAGAGAGTCAGACAAAGAAAGCACCCCCAGTGGGATGCGGTCTTGCAGCAATCCCTTCTCCGTTTCTCCATCCTGTTAGGATTGTGGGCACACACACACCCGTACACAGTGTTTTTCAAGCCACCAGGGCTAGGACTGGAACCACATAGCCAGCCATTAGGATCCAACCTTGAGACCACGGAACTACCACCTAATGTGGATTTCTTGCAGACACCATTTATTTAGGTCTTGCTTTCATATCTTGACTATCTTTTTATTTTTAAAATTTTTTAGAAATTTGTTGGTTTGTTTGCTATAGGGTGCATGTGCTTGTCAGAGAGAGAGACAGAAAGTGAGAAATCACCCCCACAGTGGGGGGATGCCTTACCATAATTCCTTCTCCTCCATTATCCTGTCAAGATTTTGGGCACACATGCACATGAGTTTTAAGTCACTTGGTCCAGGGCTTGAACCACAGGTGACTATGTGGGAGTCCAGTGATGTAACCATTACGCCATCTGCTGGTCCTCATTTCTGTCTTTTCATTGATATGTAAGACCATTTATATTTAATATTATTATGTGGTTATATTAAAACCTATCATCTTGCTAGGTTTTATGTACTTTTGTCATCTTTTTCTACCTCTTCCTTTTTTTTTTTTTTCTTTTTTTTGGAAAGGTTTTTTGTTTGTTTGTTTTTTTCTTATAGGGAACATGCGCTCACCAGAAAGACAGAGAGAGACAGAGAGACACACCACAATCCCTTCTCCTCCATTCTCCTCTTGGGATCTTGGGCACGCTCCCACACATGCCTGGCATGAGTTTAAGCCACCGGGTCCAGGACTTGAACAGCGGTCGACTACATGGGAGTCCAGCAACACAGCTGTTACGTCAACTGCTGGTCCCTTTTTCTACCTTTTCAATTGAGTATTTGTTATATTTACATTTTATCTCTGTTATTAGGTTATAATTTATCCCCTACTTATTTATTATTTAGACAGGGTCTCATTCTATTGTGACACTCTTGCCTCAGACTCTTGAATAGCTGGGGCTATTCTGGTACATACCACTACATTCCAGGTTTTTAGAGTAGACTAGAAGCTGAAATTTTCTTCCATGTGACCTCAGCCTGTGGAGAAGCATCATCTTACCAGCATGTGCCACTGCAGCTGGAATTCTTAATTATTTTTATTGATTTTCCTAGGGTTACATTATACATTTTTAATTAACCAGGGTCTTACCTTCAAAAAATACATCACTTCACATATAGCAGAAGAATCTTAAAACAGTGTATTTCAAATGCTTCCTTTCCATTGTCATAATTTTATTTTTACTATCCTATAAATACAAAATACCTTGCTACCATCTTTACTGTGATTGGTTTGTTTACTTTTAAAGCAATGCACATTTTTAAAATAGAATTTTTGTGTTTATGTTCATTTATGCCATTTCTGATATTCTTCATTTCTTTTTGGAGATTCAGATTTTGTTAGGTATCACATTTTTCCTATTTAAAGATTTTAATGTAATATATCTTGGAGAACATTTCTGTTGGCATTGCATTTCTTCAGCTTTTGCTTGCATAAAAAATGATTCTTATTTTAGTTTTGAAAACCATTTTCATTTATTTTTTCTTAAATTGGAGCCTGACAACACCCCATCACAGTGTGCTTTCTCTCTCTCTCTTTTCCTCTCTCTTGCTGAGTGTACACACTCTCTGGTAATTAAAAAAAAAAAAAAAAAAGAAACTTTTTTTAGATCTTCATTTCAGTAAGCCAATTGTATAATTTCTGTAGACAATTATGGAAATTTGAATTTTAACTTGGTATTCAGTTACACTGAAAGGCTGTGGTTAATTTTGTTGCAGGTGATGATGGCATCATGTTGGGTGAGAAATGTTGTATTTTTATCTTTTGAGATGCACACTAGGGTGATATAACATAATAGCCCAGATTTACTTCGAAGCATCCCAATTTAAAAATGTGGAAGGTGGTGTCAGCCAGTGGTGTGGTGGTTAAGATGGCTGAATACCACATGGCCAACTTTGCAGTTTGAGTTCAGGACCTGGTAGCTTGAAAATCATGCTGAGTGTGTGTGCAGGTGTGCCCAAGGTCCCAACAGGAGAGTGGAGGAGAAGGGACTGTGGCATGGCTATCCCCTCTAGGTGGTGCATGGCCATCCCCTCTGGGAGGTGCTTCTTCTCTCTCTCTTTCTCTCTCTCTGTTTCTCTTGGGCAAGGGTATGTGTCCTATAGCAAAAATGAAAAATAAAATGTGGAAGGCAATAAGCGAGACAAGTATGACATTATATGAATGATTGTGAAGGTTGATTAATAGGATTATGAGGAAATATCCACAACTATTGGGTCATCAGAAAAGTCATGACACATTTTTGGATAGAAAACAGAAAAGTACATCATGACCTTTCCGACGGCCCAATATATAAGTACTGCCACTGGTTCAGCTTTAGGAGCCCTGTGCTAGTTTGGCTGGGTAATATAATCTACCTCCATTGTTCTTCTGGAATACAGGATTTTTCTTTTCTCTTCCTCCAACTACAGGAGACCTCTAGTTATGGCCTAAGGTCAACAGAATTTGCTGCCATTACCTCAGCACCATGGGTTTTTTTCCCCCAAAAGGGGAAATAGAGATGAAGAATTTGAGCTATACTGCATGTTTTTCCAGGGCTGGCTGCCTTTCTTCTCATTCAGTCCTACACTTTGAGAGAGGCTTTTTTTTTCATATTCCTTATCCTATCTTCCTCATAAGTCCCTAGGTCTGTGGGGAAAAGCCTCTGAGTGAATGTAAATTCTTTTGTGTCTCATCTTCCCTACATTATGTACTTTCACATTAGGTCACATTTTTCCTTTAGCAGTTTATTAAAAAATTTTGCTAGATTCTTCTTACAAGGCTTGTATTATGTCTGACATTTTTTCCAGGTGAGCAAGTCCTCCAGTTCTGCCTTTCCTTGAAGGAACAAGTATTTCCATAGATTACAGGTTAATTGGTTTTCTTCTGAATTTATTGAAGGATTCATAAAAGTTATGATTTTTGGGGGGACCAACAGATGTAGTAATGGTTACATCACTGGACTCCCACATAGTCCTCTGCAGTTTGAGTTCCAGATCCGGCGGCCTTAAACTCATTCTAGGTGCCTGTGCATGTGTGCCCAAAATCTTGAGAGGAGAAAGGAGGAGAGGGATTGCAGCATGGCCATTCCCACTGGGGGGTGATTTCTCACTTTCTGTCTCTTTTTCTCTTTCTGTGTCTCTGGCAAGCATACACGCCCTATAGCAAAATCTTTCTAAAAGAAAAAATCTGATTTTTCAGATGAACTTTCCTGTTGTTGTAAGGGTTTGATACTCTTTCAGCTTTCTAAACAAACCCTAAGTAGGAGCCATATTTTTCCCCACATTTTCTTTCAACTTTTGTCATTGTTAGACTTGCCTGTTGTGGCGTAAGGGCATTTCGTGCCAGCAACATAAGGGACAAAGGCCTAGGTAGCTGAATTATGTTAGGAAGGGTCTTACTCTGGCAATTGAGAAACTGCATCCCGAGGATGAGATACAAAGGTGCAGTGAAGGAAGAAAGTAAAAGCTGAAGCCAGGAGGCGTACATGTTGCTGAGTC